AGTACGTACGTACGTAGTACGTACGTACGTTACGTACGTAGTAGACGAAGAAGAACGTAAGTACGACGTACGTACGTCGTACGTACGTACTACGACGAGAGAGAGAGAGAGAGAGAGAGAGAGAGAGAGAGGAGTCGGACCCCAGGAGGAGGGAAGAAATTTTGTAGGTCAAATTTGGGAGATGAAGCTCATGGTATTTTGTTTCGAAATTTGAGTTGCCTCGCCTGCATTCAAGAGTGGAAAAAGTCTATATAATGATGCAACTATATAATGTAGAACTACGGATGAATATCAAAAATCCATTGGAAGAAACAGATTTAATGTTAAAAAACCCTTTGATTGATGATCTCCAAATCGAGATGTTTGACGATGAAAAATAAAAAGATTTTTGGTAAAATATCCTTTCATTTTTTATTTTTAATTTTTATATATCATCAAATCTAAAAATTGAAAATATTATTTATAAGTAAAAAGACTATATTTTTTATCTTCCAACCCCTTAACCATTTTGATCATGTATTATTGACCTCAACAACTTATGAAATGATTATATATCTCTCTCTAAAACTCTATCTCTCTCTCACATCGTTATCTCTCTTTCTCTCAAAACTCCATCTCTTTCTAAAACCCAAATTCTATCTCTCTCTCACATCATCGTCTGGCTCTCTCTCAAACCTCTATCTCACTCCTTAAAACTCAAACTCCATCTCTCTCTCTAAAACTCTATCTCTCTCTAAAACCTAAACTCCATCTCTTTCTCTCGAAAACTCCATCTCTCTCTCACATAAGAAGGTGTGTGCTCATGTAAACCCTTTGGCTGGTAAACTCATCGAGAAGTGACGAGAGAAAGAGAGAGATGAAGTTTGAATAGGGTATTATTTTAGTGTTTGTTGGAGTCAAAAATTTATGGTCAAAAGGGTATAAGGGGTTGTAAGATAGAGAAAATGAAGACCTTTTGCTTACAAGTAATATTTTCAATTCTTGGATCTCATGAAATATGGAAGTTAAAAATAGATGACAATGAGATATTTTTCCAAGATTTTAAGTCTCATAAATAGTGCATTTTACAACATATTATCTACATTGTCCATTTTCAAGATTTTCATATGTTTATAGATCTACTTGATTTTAACCATTTTTAAAATTTTAAATTTTATAATTAGATATAAAAATAGATTTTGAGATAATCCTAAAGACATTTATATCAAAATTATATACCAAGATAAAATTTGAAGATGCACCTTACCTCTACAGCTACGGACACATCTGTATGCAAATTGCACCCTTCAAAATCATGCCAAAGTCTAAATTTTTTGAAATTCAACATCTACATTATTTTGGAAGGGAAAGGTTTGTATGCTTCCCCTACATTATAGAAGTTCTATCCTCCCCCTACCATCCAGCCTTCCAATTTTGATCGAGAGAGCCGCTCATCGTTTGATCTTAGATCCGACGTCTCAAAGTATTTTATTTTTAGTTTTTTTATACAAATTGTATGAATATGAAATTTGGTACGTGCTATCTTCTCATTGGGGCGCACCTATAAAACAATATTAAAATTAATTTTTCGATAAAATATAATGATAAAAATACCTCTCGAAACTTTTAAGGGTATTTTGATCATTTAATTTTATTGAAAATATTTTTTTTATATTTTTCACTAGTGTGAGTTTAATAGAGGAATGGACGTCCAAATTTTGGTGTCAAAATAGTTTATAGAAAAAAATAAAAAATAAAATAGTTGGGGCAATCTTAGCCCTCCATTCAGAATGGACCGTTGGATAAGGGGAAGGATAGAACACCTATGTTGTAGATGAAGCATAGAAAGCTTGCCCCATTTTGGAAAACTTAGTCTAATATTTCTCTTTTTTGAGGTATTATAAAGGTTGATATTTGGCCCATCTCTAAATAATAATATTGTTTAAAAATTATGTTCCAATACTTTGTCTGAAAATTGTTTTCGTTGGAAAATTTAAAACTCTAAAAATGATATAAATTGAGTTGATCTATAAA